CTAGCTTATTACACATATATAGATGTACATTGTTGTTAAGTGCTGTTGAGTTGAAAGCAGAAGCAGTAGGTGAATCTGAATGGCTGACCTGTGGTTTGCAGTTCAGTGTTGATCCTACAGTATCACACCAGAAGTCCATATATGTGTATATAAATATATACAGTATTTTTCTTATAGTATAGTGCTGTCCAGTCAATCTGACTCATAGAGACTCTGTATAGGATTTCTGAAGAGCAAATGATGGGTTCGAACCACTGACCTTGCAGTTAGCAGTTTATTCTACAGCGCCACACTCACGTATGTGTGTTTATAAACACACACACACACACATATATTCTTTATGTGATTATCTACTTGAAGGATACTTTGCCTCTTTTTTATAAGTATGAACATAAAGAAGTTACTCACATGTGACATAAATTAGAGTGAGAAAGAGAAATAGAGTCCTGGTCAGTTTGGACTACAAGGTCAGTTTGAACCGCAAGGTCAGAGGTTCAAGTTCACCAACTGCTCCTTGGAAGCCCTATTGTTGGTATTGTTAAGTGCCTTCAAGTCACATCTGTCATAGCTATCCAAGGAGGATCAGCTGGTGAGCTTGAACTGCCAATCTTGCGGTTCAAACCAACCTTAGTCCAATACAATAACCCAAAGCGCCACACCAGGACTCCTTGGAAACCCTATACAGGGTCACTATGAGTCAGACCTGACTTGACAACACATAACAACACCAACGTACGTAATTATCTACTTGAAGGATACTCTGCCCCTTTTTGTGTAAGTATGAACATAAAGAACCTGTTCATAAGTGATTCTAGAAATAAGTAACTCGAAACAAAGTTATTAAAAATTTAAAGTATCATGAGTATTAATCCTTCATAAAGGCATTTCTTTACCCATTCATCCAAAGTAACATTAAAGGCAAAGGCAAATGCATTCTCAAGTAATGGTGATATTCAAGGACACAAGAAAAAACAGATAAAAATTCAAGTACCGTTTTATAATGCTCAAACGCCATAAACTGGATTGCGCCATAGGGAAAGATTCGAATCATCATTGCACCATTTCCTTTATACAAACCAAGGTATCCTTCCTTTTGGGGAACAGCACGTAATGTAGAAAACACTCCTATATTTGGGAAGATTTTCAGAAGTAAAATACTATTAAAACAGAGAAGACCATCGAAATATAAAAATTTCATAATAATCACAGATTACCATGCTATTTTATTCATGATTATCATTTTGTTTAAGGAACTATATGAATCATAAATTCTGAACAGCAGTAAACCCTACTAAAAATAACTTCTTGTAAAAATAAAATCATAAAATGTAAGGTAAAAGCAAGCACGAATTGTAGACAAATATATTTATAGTCACAGTAAATTAAACTATAAAAATTTAAGAAATAGTCATTAATCATGCATACTACAAATTGCTAAGGAATCACTGAAAAATGACCCATAATGTATTCTCTTTATGGGTCCCAGCATAGAGACAGAGCCAGAAAACAGATTTAAAACAAATGCTCACACAGTATCACAACGGATATTTTTTCAAGGTCCACATACTCTACTGAAGAAGACCAAGTCTATCCAGGAAGATGAAGGAAGGCTTCCCCAAAAGACTCAGATACATGGCTATCATTTGTTTATATTTTTTAAAATGTTAAATAAAATACGTAAAAAGACTACCTATAGAAAAGATTTCTATTTTGCAGTAAATTTTCACTAGTTAGGACACTAAATGCAAACACTGATTAGACAGGGCCTGAGTTCTGATCCATATATATTGATGTTTCAAATTTTGCATTTATTTTGTATTGATCTTGCAAACAAAAATTTAGAAGAATTTCCTGAGCTCTTCTAAAGTTTTTTGTCGTTTTTTCTCTTTGGTTCCTGAACCTTTCTGTCAATTCTTTGAAGGTATCTAAAGTTCTTTAGAATTCTTTTTCAGTTAGTACAATTACCTTTTCTTCCTCAGAAATCTTTTTTTGGCTATGCATCTTAGTCATTTGTTTGAGTCATTCTCTTGTTTCTGCATGTGAATTAATTTTTTTCTCTGGAACACTGTGGTGGTGTATTCGTATTTAATTGATGACTGTATGCTAATGTATTCTTAGGCCCTCACCAACTGTCTCCAGTGCGTGTAGTTACAGAATGGAAACCTGTATGTTGTTCTCCATTTGTGCACCTCAGTTTAGGTTATGTTTGGCTGGTTTTGGCTGCTGCTATCATTGATAAGGTGGTATTTGTTGTTTTTAAATACCCTCAATTCGGTTCCAACTCATAGAGTTTCCAAGGAGCAGCTGGTGGGTTTAAACTACCAATTTTGCAGTTCGAAGTCTAGTGCTGATCCAGCAGTGCCACACTAGGAGCCCTGATCAGGTGGTAGAGGAGCTGGTATTACTAGTCTGCTTACCACAAGATCAGTGGTTCAAATCCACCAGCCACTCCTTGGAAATCCTATACAGAGTGGCTATGAGTCAGAATCAACTCAATGGCACTATGCAACAACATTGCCTCTTGCCCACTGGGTGGAGTTCCAGCGTTATGGTTATGGCTGGGCTATATTGGCATGACTGCTGTCTCCTGTCCGGTGGGAAGCAGGAGAAACCAACCTACACACATATACACAAGAAAACCAAAAAATTAAAAAAAAAAACAACCCAGCAACCAATAATGAAGAGAGAAAATAATAAGGGAGCAAATATCATTGAAAACAGGTTGCAGCCTGAGAAACAGAATATAACTCAAAGGAGAAAAGAGGGCTAGGAAAATGGAGCCAGAGAAAAACAAGGGAGAGAACAAAAGGAAGAAACAGCAACAACAAAAACACTTAGCAAAAACAGGGAGAAGGTTGCTGAAAAGAGAAAAGAGAAAGGTAGGAAGTAGTAAAGAAATATTAAAAAAAGAAGAGAAACACAAGAAAAGGAAAAACATTAGCAGAGATAAAAAGGATAAATTTCAAGGGAAGGGAAAAGAAGGAGAAGAAAGAATAAATAAATGAAAACAACAAAATAAAAGGAAAAAACCAAAACAAACAAACAAAACCAAAAACAGTGCAGCTGTTTGACCTGGAGAGGAAAACTCTAGGGAGCTCCTACCAGAAAGGAGCTCACAAGCTGGTGTGTGGGAGGGATACGACAGCAGAATTCCTGGCCATTGATGGAGTTCCTATAGTCCTAAATATTATCAACGTTCAGGGCACTCAATCTAGAAGTAGTTTGTTCATGGAGGCCCTTGAGGAAATGGGTTTCAGTGTCTGTTAGGACCACAGGGCAACTGGGGGCAGGGCAATGAGGGTTTCTGCAAGACTACTGCAGGTCTAGTGACTCTGCCGGTCCTGCATGTCTGGAGTTGAGCCTGCCGGAATCCAGGCACCAAGGTGATGAAGTTGGCCCCGTCTCACACTGGCCTGACTCATAACCAGGAAGCCCTCAACTCTTGGGGGTGGAGAAGGGTAGGAGTTGGCCACACCTTTCTCTGATTACTCCCTAAGCTGGATTCACTCCTAAATTGGAATTCCAATGTTGTAAAGGCTCTCGGAAACCCTGTACAGGGTCGCTATGAGTCGGAACCAACTCCACAGCACTTAACAACAACAACAACAACAAAGGTGCTCTGGTAGCATGGTAGTAGTTGATGGTTATGTGCCATGGAGTCAGTTTTGACTCATAGTGACCCTGCACAGGGTTTCCAAGGCTGCACATCTTTACGGGAGCAGAAAGCCTCATCTTTGTCCAGCGGAACAGCTGGTAGTTTCGAACTGCTGACCTTAAGGTTAGCAGCCCGGAGTGGTTACGAATTGGACTGCAAACCTTAAGGTCAGCAGCTCGAAACTACCAGCTGTTCCAAGGGAGAAATATGAGGTTTTCTGCTCCCGTAAAGATTTACAGCCTCGGAAACCCTGTGCAGGGTCGCTATGAGTCGAAACCGACTCCACGGTACTTAACAACAACAACAAAGGCTTTGATACTGTCGAACTACCTTTGAAAAAGGCTATTAAAAGTTGTTTCTTCTACCAATGACATACCATGTTTGTTTAAATGGCTAGTTTTTTCTGTTTGTAAGAAGCAAGGGAAAAATGTGTAGAAACGTGCATAAGCTATAATAAAAAGTTCAACAACAAAAACAAACAAGAGCTTGATTTCTTTTTTTTAAATAATGAAATTATTCATACAAAGTAATTGCCATTGGATTGTGGGAGACTTATTTAACTGTTCAGGGTAATGACTGTTTCAGTTTTATAGTCATCAAACTTTATCTCAATCACTAATCAGGATAAGAAGTTGAGTTGTCTATGAAGGGTGTGACAAGCAGCACTTAGTTCAATGAGTCCAAGATTTTGGTTTGGAGAATAACAGGACACCCTAGTGCAGCGCTGCAGGATAAACACTAGACTGTTACCTACAAGGTCGGAGGTTCAAACCCACTAGCCTCTCCCTGGAAACCCTATACAGTGTCGCTGTGAATCAGAACTGACTCGATGACACTTAACTACAGCAATAAAATGATACTGTATATAAACACAATTGCAAATGAAAAGATTTAAGTGGATAAGAAATACATCCCTTGTAAAATGTGTCCCTAAACTTGACTCTCCCTTTTGTGTCCTCTTTCCACTATCGTTAAGCATCCATCAACTCACCTAAATGCTTGTAATGGTGATTATGAGCTTGTAATAAAACCTTCACTCGATCCAAAGGGGCAACAGTTGTTTTAGCACAGCATCCAGCAATACCTTAAAAAATAAATACATATATAAAATTCAAGGTCAGGAAGAAATCGTATGGTATCTATTTCAGATAGGAATCATTGGTTTTTCAGCAACAAACCCTCTGGTCTCTAGTTTCCGTGGGTAGAATTGTCATGTAGCATCAATATGCTATAGTCCCCATTCTCTGTAATTTAAAATTCAGCCTGTCAGACTAAAAATTACGTTTGAAGACTGTAAATCAGTCCCCTAATATCTGGTCACCACTAAAAATATTTCATAAATGTGATTGTATGGACATTTTTCCACTTCAGTCAATGACAACTGCATTCTTTCACTGTTCAAGCCAAAATGAATCAGCCTGGACTTCTCTTCCTCGCCCCATGTCAAACTTGTTAGAAAACCCTGTTTATTTTCATCTATGTCCAGAATCTCACAACTTCTTACCACCTCCACTGCTACAGCAAGCCATCATCATCCATCATCTGAATTACTGCAGCAATTACCAAACTGGACTCCTTGCTTCAATATTTGCACACCTGCAGTCATTTTCAACAGGCAAAGTGAATCTTTTGAAGTAAGCCATATTGTATCACTTCTCAGCTTAAAATTTGCAATGGCTCACCATTACACTCATAGTCAAGTTCAGAATCTCACAAAGCCCTTAATTTTCTGCTTCTCTAACTTCCTTCTTCCACCACTAACACTTGACTCCATGCACACAGATCTTTGAACCAACCAGGTCCTCTCCTGCTTTGAAGTCTTTACATTAGCATTTGTTCCACCTGAAATTTTGTCCTCCAACAGCAGCTTGCTAACTCTCACACCTCTTCAATTATTTGCTCACCCTTTCAGTAACTACTAAAATCATCTTTATTTAATATTATATCCACTCTTCCTATCCACTTCCTTGCCTTGCTGTCCTTCTTATTTATTCCATTACAACTTATCTAATATACGATGCAACCTTCTAATATACGGTATACAGTTAACCATTGAACAACACAGGTTTGAACTACAAAGGCCCACGTATACGTAGATTTTTTTTAATGCCATGTGATGTGAATTATCTTCTTGTGATCAGTTCGTGTCTCTCCAGTAAATACTGCATCACAGTGAAAAGTCATCTTTCATAGCTCTTTTGTCTTTTTCATCATATTTAGTACAATACCATACACTTTGAGTAATACCGTGGGACTCAAATGAAGTACCACTAGGGATGCTGGACGTGCTCCCAAGAAGCAGAGAAAAGTCATGACAAGGAAAAGTTAACCAGCTTCTTATGTGCCATAAACTGAGGTCTGCAGCTGTGGTATTCTACCATTTCAAGATGAACAAATCCAGAATAAGGACCATTAAAAAAAGGAAATTCATGAAGCCATTGGTCACCAGCAGACAAGAAACCCTTACACATTTTAGAAAAGACCTTTTTATCTCATATTGACAATGCAGCTTTTATATGAGTGCTGCATATCATATGGGTTGCTAAGCATTAAGTCAATTCTGACTTGTACAGTGACCCTGTACAGGGTTACCAAGGCTGTATATCTTTAGAGAGCAGAAAGCTTCATCTTTCTCCTATGGCACAGCTGGTGAATTAGAACTGCTGACCTTGAGGTTAGCAGCCCAACACATAACCCGCTATGCTATCAGGGCTCCTTATATGATACGTGTTATTGTTGTTAGGTGCCATCAAGTCAGTACCGATTCATAGTGACCCTCTGAACAACAGAAGAAAACACGGACATGAGCTAACCTCACAATCATTGCTATGGTTGAATACATTGCTGCTGCCACCATGACAACCCATCTCACTGGGGGTCTTCCTCTTTTTCTCTGACCCTCCACTTCACCCTCCAGTGACTGGTCCCTCCTGACAGTATGTCCGAAGTATGAGAGACGAAGTCTGGCCATCCTGGCTTCCAAGGAGCATTCTGGCTGTACTTCTTCCAAAACAGACTGGGTTCAAACGTAGCAATACTTCATTGATTTCTTGACTGCTGCTTCCATGAAAGGTGATGGCTGATCCGAGCAAAATGAAGTCATAGGCAACTTCAATCTTTTCTACATTTATATGGGATGTCGTTTATTGTGAGGGTTTTTGTCTTATTTACATTGAGGTGCAACCCTTACCAAAGGCTGTGGTCTTTGATCTTCATCAGTGAGTATTTTAACTCCTATTCACTTTCAGTAGGCAAACTTGTATAATTTGCACATTGCAGGTTGTTAATGAGTCTTCCTCCAATCCTGATGCCACCTTTTTCTTCATGCAATCCAGTTTATCTGATTATTTTCTCAGCATCCAGATTGAGTAAATAAGGTAAAAGAATACAAACCTGGTGCACAACTTTGCTGTTCAGTGTTCCCTTGTTCCGTCCAAACAACGGCCTCTTGGTCTATATACAGATTCCTTGTAAACACAATTAAGTGTCCCAGAATACTCATTCTCCGCATTGTTGTCCATAGCTTGTCGTGATCCACACAATCTAAAGCCTTTGCATAGTCAATAAAACACACTTAAACATATTCTGGTATTCGCTGTTTTCAGCCAAGGTCTTTCGTGTTTTAATACCTTTTGCTTTCTTCCTGTATGGGGTTCTCGATGTCATCCCACAAATCTACTGGTCTTCAGTCTTTAGTGTCTAATACATCAAATGTGTTCTTCTCTAAATTCAGGTGGCATATGTTCAAGGTCATATTTTGGCTCATTGGACTTGTTTTAATTTTGCATATTTAAATTTGATCTGTTCCTCAATTTGCTCCTGGCCTTATTTGGCTGATGATACAAAGCTTCTCCACCGTTTCTTTACACAGATGTAGTCAATTTGATTTCTGTGTATTTCATCTGGTGAGGTCCATGTGATAATCATCTTTTATGTTCTTTAACAAAGGTATTTGCAATGAAGAGTCATTGGTCTTGCAAAATTCTATCACGCAATCTCCAGCATAGCATCATTTCTATCACCAAGACCATATTTTCCAACTACTGATCCTCTTTGTTTCCAACCATTGCATTTCAATCACCAGTAATTATCAATACATCTTGACTGCATGTTTGATCAATTTCAGAGCAAAGAAGTTGGTAGAATTCTTCAATTTCATCATCCCTGGCTTTAGTGGATGGTTCACAAATTTGAATAATAGTGGCATTAACTGA